GAAATCATCCCCTGGGGGGATGGCCACACCGCAATCCCTTCTCTTCCATTTTCCTCTCAGGATCTTGGGCATGTGTGCCCATACGCCCAGCGTGAGTTTAAGCCACTGGGTCCAGGACTCAATACGTGGTTGACTACATGGGAGTCCAGTGACATAGCCAGTACGCCATATGCTGGTCCCCCAATAGGTTTTTTTAGTTATCCCAAACTTACTCAGAGTAGCCAGTCTATCTGAAGTCTTTTCAAGGCAGTATCTAAAAGTCACTTTATAACGTGCTCACTATTTCATATAATGAATAATGACAACTTGAGACCATCTCAGGAACTATGGATTGCATGGCTAATCACTAGCTCTTAGATTAATTACCCCAGGCCACTTTGCTTATGAGGTTATTATGTTTACTTTCTAGACTCCTCTCTTGTCCTATGTAATCACTATTCCTTCTAGGAGTCTATTTCTTTAAAAAAAAAAAAAAATTGTCAAAGGGCACAAGCACTCACCAGAAAGAGAGGAGAGAGAGCATACACATTACACACTCCCAGTGGGACACGGTCACACCACAATTCTTTTTCCTTCAGTTCTCCATCCTGTCAGGATCCTGGACACAAACTCATACAGACCCAACATTTTTTTTTTTTTTTTTTAAGTTTTTGCCATAAGGTGCATGTCCTCACCAAAGAGAGACACAGAGAGTAAAGTGAGTTATCAACCCCTAGGTGGCTGGCCACACTGCAATCTCTTCTCCATTAGCCTGTTGTGATTCTAGGTGCACCTGCATCTGGCATGATTCCCAAGCTGTTGGGTCCAGGACTTAAACTGCAGTCGGTCATGTGGGAATCTAGCACTCTAGCCACCATATCACCTACTGGCCCAAACCAGCATGTTTTTTAAGCCTCCAGCGTCAGCTATGTGGGAGCTGACTTTCTATGAACAAGACATAACCTGCTGCACTATGGGGCTTGCCTTGTTTTACTCTTGGTTGCTGTTTCTGTATTTCTACTCTGATGATCAGATAGACAGGTTCATAAAACTGTTTAAATTAAGAGTAAAAAAGCTTTGCTAAAGGAGATTCTGAGAAGCCATGCTATAATCCCAAAGTATGAGCTTTCGTTTGTGGCCTTTGTGATTAATTATTTTGACAGCCAGAACACTTTGTTTCTTAGGTCTCAATGGTGTTCCTGAATAACAGAGAGCCAGGAAAATAAGAGGTTTCAAAATATGGCTCCCAGAACAGTCAGAGTGTGAGCATGCATGCACGCTCGCTCTCTCT